CTGCCTTCCCTCTAGTTTTACACTGCTAAATTAGGGACGGCTAGCAGAGATAGCCCTCGTGAAATTCATAACAAACAAACAAACTTATTGATACTTCGTGGCGAATACAATATTTTAGTCTTACTGCTACTTCATGGTAGATACAATCTTTTGATCTTTTTTTACTGGTACTTTGAGGTGGATACAGTATTTGGATATTATAGCTTCTTCGTGATGTATTGACTTTAAATGTTTGTTTTCAGTATGATATTCAAATATTCATAACAGGTGAAAATGCAAATGTAGTCTAATACAAGAATTTAGTGATCTTGAGGTTAGTTTATCTACAATCGAACTGGATTATATCCGAGTATTGATTGGTTTCACTATACATCATTATTAAAGGACACTGTAAGGATGAATTGTAGTGTATATCAGTGACACGCAATTTATGTAAACACGGCAATCTACCCTGTTCTCTGTATTCAAAGTTTTTGTATTTGATCAACACGCCTCAGTAGTCCAAACTTTAGTAAATCGATTGCTATTTGCTTAGAATCTGAATTATTGCTTTACAAAACTTATTGTGTTATGCGTATCTAAAACAAATTAATATGGTTTTTATCTAAGTGAAAGGACAAGTTAAAAAACCCGTAATTTTATTAAATTTTGAAAAAGACGGTTGGTTACTACCGTTCACTTTTATAAGTCTATTTGAAGGTTGTGTCATTTTTACATTTTTTGTTTTTTGCTACAGCAGACTCCACCATGGTTTTAAAATGTTTTTCGCCTTGGTTTCGTGTGGAATCCACTTTCCTTTCTTGGTTGTAATTCTCAAGAAAGTTTCAAAGGCTGTTCTTATTTTCGATGTTCCGCCTCTGTTAGGTGAAGTTAGAGCTGTACGTGACCCCCAGCATAAAGCGTTACTGAGAGCTTGGTTCTTACTACAGTTGGTCAATTCTTTTGGACAAAGCATATCTGCAAACGATGCATTTATTTCTTGTTTAATTACTTCGTGTTTGTTTTTTGTGGCCCTTTGAGAAGTTGGCTAATACCACTAGGCAAAGATTTCTTTATTGACAGTGCTAATGACTTCCATGTTGTCTACTTTACCACAACTAATAGCCAATTTAAATGCTGCACGTTACTGCAGTCTTTGTGTGACAATGGCGAATAACTTAACAACATATTCATTAGTAATAGACGTGAAATGTTTGTAATACTTACAAAGTAAGATATTATTATTAGCGTTTTTATCCCTGTGCAATGTTTCTCTTTTATTTCAATTGTAAACTAAGGTACTGCGAACAGTGAAATAAAATGCCGAATTTTGGTTTGTTGGTCAATGACACAGCAATGTGTAGTCTAAAATGTTATTATTATTCGACTTACTTTTTCAATGTAAGAAGGGGGTCATAAAACATTATTAATTATTATTTTAAAGTTTTAAATGTAATCATGCACTTAAAAAATATTTTACATTATTCAGGCTTTCAAAAGGTTTTAGTGTTATCGTTACTGCTTGAAAACCAAGCCATTTATCTTATTCATCTTCTCTTTTACAAAGTTATTTAAATGCCACGTAACGTAGCATATTCGTTTTACAAGAACTGTCTTCTTAAAATATATAAATGTGTCTCTAGTTCTTATCACTTGTTGTTTGTAATATCTCATTTTTTTACACTTTTTTGCACATCCTCATCTATTTTTCTTGAACTCCAAGCGGATCAGACGCACTCCCTGATTTTATTTATCTGTTGTTACTATTGTAGTTCACTAAATATATTTTATACCATGGTGTTCTGGAAATTTAACATTCTTTATATGACTACACAAAATGATTATACATTCTATTGTTACCACTAGTGATTTTATCGATATTTAAAAAAGTCAATATCGTTGACGTACAGATAAAATTAAACCTTGTATTCGATTGCTACACGTTTTAACTTTGAACAGGTCTAATTATAGATGGAAAAACTATTCTGTTCAAAACCTAACGTATTTGTAATTGAAATTACAATATTGAATAAGTTACAATCAAAAAATATCATCGTTGCATTGTTTGCCTTTTGTTTTATTTTTCAGCAAAGCTTAAGACCACCAACAATTTCAGGTCCATATGGTAGAGTAAGTCCTTATTCACCAGTCCCCATATTAACAACAGATGTAAACCAAGCCATACCCATACGGTGCTATTCTCCAGCTCCATCTGAATGGAGGAAAAGGACTCAGCCAATTCCCATTGCTGGTAAGAGAGAAAACAACAACAACTAAACCCATCAAGTTAACATTTATTGTTATACCCACCCAGACCTGAGGGTTACTTCTTGTCTTTAACACTATTTTTATAGTATCTGTAAATCCAGTATTGAGGATTTTCAAAAATATATATATATATATTTAGGTACTAACTTTTCACTGCGCTTAAAATTATGTCCGAAAAATATCGCCAAAAGCGATGAAACAATGCAGTCTAGTCATTGTAACTAAGAGCATAAGAACAGTATACCAAATTAGCTATGTTCATTACTGGTTTGAATTTTAGTTCTGAACTACGTACGTAACTTGCTTTGTTCAGAATCTAATGTTATTTATAATTGCATTTTATTGATTATTACAATTTAAACAGACGTGTTTTCATCTTAGACACTAAAAGAATTAATTTTATAAGGAACAGTATAATCGCACACTGTGATAAAACAAGCTGGTACTAACAGTTCCGGGGTAAGAGAAAACGCGTTTAGTCAAGATGGTTCAAAAACGCGTTTAGTCACGATGGTTAACATTTTGCTGATATATATACATCTCGAAGGTTTGAGAACTTTAATGGACTTCAATGTTCAGTGAAAAGAGAACAACTTTTCGGCTTCTACACTGAGACCTTCTTTATGTCACTGTACGATACGAAATGTAATTTTGGTACTGGCTATCCTGGGATGTATGGAAATTTATGATCAGAATCTATTATTTCGTTCGTTCGTGGTAGAATTTTAGGTTAGAAATTTTGAATATATAATTTAAAATAACCAGGGATGGTCAGAAATATAAATTACCCTTCATCCCGTCCATGTTTATAGCCATTTAGTGAATTATACTTTAGAGAAATAATTATATATATGTATATAATCATGGAGTGAGGAAAGCCAGAAAGGTCTAAGACAGCCGTCGTGCCATTCTTACCTTAGTTCTAAATAGACTCTCATCTTTTATTTCAAGGGCCCGGCATGGCCAGGTAGTTAGGGAGCTCGACTCGCAATCTGTGGATTCGAATCCCCGTCCCACCAAACATGCCCGCCCCTTCAGCCGTGGGAGCGTTATAATCTGACGGCCAAGCCCTCTATTCGTTGGTAAAAGAGTAGCCCAAGAATTGGCGGTGAGTGGTGACGACTAGCTACCTTCCCTCTAGTCTTTCACTACTAAATTCGTTGGTAAAAGAGTAGCCTAAGAGTTGGCGGTGAGTGGTGACGACTAGCTACCTTCCCTCTAGTCTTTCACTACTAAATTAGGGACGGCTAGCGCAGATAGTCCTCGTGTAGTTTTTTCAAAACAAATTTATTTCAAGAACTTAACAGCGCGAGAAAAGTTTACAATTTGAGTAAAATAATTAATTAGATAAATAGATAAAGTTTTTGAACTTGGCATAATCTAAGAAATTAAATGAATTAAAATAATTTTATAAAACAAAATCACTGGAATATCAGGATCAAAATCCGAAAATCTAACGTGTAGAATAAAAATAGTCATTATTCAGGGAGGCGGGTAACTATGCCTATGCCGAGGTTTGGATCTGTAAAGATTTAGGTATTTGTGTGTGTAGGGGACAGTGGGGGGAGGACGTGAGTACCCCAAGAAAGCCTGATTGGGTGCCATGTCTTCTACACCACCATTGCCTAAACTGAAAAAAAAAATCAGGTTATGCATGAATTAAATAACTTACAGTAAACTTAATGACAGGATCGACTTACGTACTTGTGTAGTGTTTTATAGAAGTGAGCACGGCCGTGTAGTAGAGAAACTCCAAGGTTGAGCGGGTGTTATCAGTAGGAGTAAGATGTCATAATATTATCTGCATAAAGTTCAACTGAAACTGTTATCAGGCAATGATATAAAGCATAAGACAGAAATATAAAACATTTACGGTTAACTCAATTTTTAAGAGCATACAAATTTTTGAATTGAAAAAGTAATACTTTCCAGTGTACTAGAATAAGACAGTCAACACTCTCTTGTAAGAACCTCGTAACACACATTATTTAGAATCACTAGGCCTTATTTATATACGATATATTGTTAAGTAAAACCTGCTATAACAGGAAAACATACGTCTGATAGTTAGCGGTATGTTCGTTTACCAAACAGTATAAACTGTAACCATAAAATTAAAGGTGGTATCAGGTAGTTTGACACCAGAAACCAACCTTGTTCTTGCTGCTCTTGGTATTTATGATATGCTGTGAGGAGCGTTCTCTTTAATATCTAAAGCATATTTATGTGTTGAATTAACATTGCATTAAATTTCACATTGAATTTTTTTTTTTTGTCTTTCATTAATGTGATTTATTTTGTATTGTTTTAGTTGAAGTAAAAAAAAATACTCTTGGATTATAGATATATATATATATCAGGCTGTGTAAATTTATGTGTATGATTTGAGTAGCTCAAGACGTTTCATCACAGGCTTTCTGTTGCGTGATAGCTAAGCTGTGTTGGATATTATTTTGAATTTCAAGGTAAGGTAAGAATTTTGACAGTGTGGCAGCGGCCTCTATGTTTTTTGTTTTTTTTATTGGTCATATCATCTTAAAGTGCAACGGGTATTTAGCTTTCACTGTGAAAAGGCCATTATCGTTCTTTAGAGCCTCGCTATGAACCTTCAGGCGCTTACTCTACAACGCCTGATCATCCTTATCCATCTCTTGGGCAAAGTCAGTACATTGCTGCCTGTGAACGAGGCTATGAATCTGCGTATGATTCATCTCCTGAACGCAAACCACCACCAATAAGTTATTCTACATCTCCACGAAGGAGAATCGAACATCAGAGTTCATTTGGTGGTTACAGCGCCACCTGGTACGAGGATCCTTCATATTACAGAAGTCAAGTTTATAGACCTCGATCCCGAAGCATAACTCCTGTGATCGACGAGGAAGCCAGGCATGTAAATTAAATATATTTTCTTGTAAATCAAATTAAAATAACACCTATAAATCTGATAAACAATATATTGATTGAAATGAACATAAATACTGCTATATTATGCAGGTTTGTTTAGTATCATCGTTCTATTACAAAAAAAAAATGTTAAGTATTATTGCCTCTACATGATTTAGAAGTAATCTAAAACATTTTAATATACAGTGTAATTTACATTTTAATTATACTTGACGATTGCATCAACAGACATTTAAATTTCCAATTTGTTCGAAGTATTCGATGTAATTTAAATATATGCATTTCAGATTAATATCATTCCAACAACAAATTACCTGCATGTTGTATTAGGGTTATGTACATATAGTAATAACAACTCAGTTGTTGATCTAATAGTAGGATATTAATGGATCTTATAAGTTGTTGCTTAGTTTCCATAAGAGTGTGATGTTTGTAGGTATTTATACTAACATTTTGAAACTTGATTAACAATAAAACAGGCACTTTGAATTTCCCTGCAGTGGAATTGATACACCACATAGTGGAATGTGTTTTAATAATCTGTTGAAAATGACGAACTGTTGGACCATAAAATGCACATTAATTTATTAGGTACACGAATCATAAGAAATATGCAGGGTATTTTTGCAATTAACTTACAAACTTAAGCTAATCTTAAAGACTTAACATGGAAAGGAAACTGTTTTTTATATAATTGTTATGGTATGAACGCCTTTTTTACAAGCTGGCGAAGCATTATTATAATTATAATTGTCATAAGACATTAGTATTAAGCCTATTGTATTTTTAAACACTACATTCTTCATCTAGTCCCTTGGGGATTTTTAAGAATTAAAAGGGTGTATAATAATAGTATTCCAACCACACCACATTTCCCATAGCCACTGCTGATGACGCGTTTCACTTAATCCAGAGCTCATCAGGCTGGCTGGGATGCATGATTATAGTCGTACTTTTCATAAAACTTTTCATAATGAACTAGGTAAATAATATAGTGTTTAAAAATACAATGGGTTTAATATTAATGTCTTATGACAAGTATAATTATAATAATGTGTCTTGTGTATTTTCAAGACTCAATAAATTTAACTCGAAAATGCTTCAAGAATAAAGAATGTGTCAGATGTGACTTCTCACGTTTCATACTTAATCATGTCGGGAAATAACAATATTAAACTAACTCGTCTGCTTAAGTTTAAAACAAATACTGCTTTCAAAGTTGATTAACAACTTGATAGCTCGACTTAGGGCTTGGCATGGCCTGATGACTAGGGCGCTCGAGTCGCAACTTACCGGTCGCGGGGTCGAAACCCGGCGCTTAACGTGCTTGCCCTTTCAACCATGGGGCGTTATAATGTATCAGTAAATCCTATTATTCGTTGGTAGAGAGTAGCCCAAGAGTTGACTAGCTGCAGTCCCTCTTCAAAATTAGGGACGACTAGCACACATAGCCCCTATAGAAGCTGGACACCATATTCAACAAACCAACACGCCCGAATTAGGTAATTAATGTGCCTAATTATGTAATTTTTTAATTATTATAATTTGTTCTAACGTCTATCTTTAATTTTCTTTCAATTTGCTGTTGAGTCTCTTTAAAAGGACAAGCAGTTTTACCACCAATATATTTTCATTTAGAAAAAGGATGGAGTTTATGGAGCATCAGTTAGCAAGTCTAACGGGATTGGTCCAGAAGGTGTTGACGACTCCATTGTCTAGACAGCAGTCTCACGCTGAAGAAGTAGTTCCTACACGTGATAACGAAGTATTTAAAGACTCCGAAGGTACATAGCCTGTGCGTTGTTGAAATTAGAACAACAGCAAAAAATGTCGTGCATTGCAACAAGGATACGGTCATTTTAGTAAATATTTTCTGCCTTACCATTTTCTCACCTGTGTTTTAAAATATTTGTGCATTAATTGAAAAGAAAGATACGGTTCTAACTGATTCACTTTTCTTAGTACAATTGCATACATAAATGTTTCACAGTTCACATAAGTTTGAACTTTATACCAGATTGTTTATATGCTTCTTTAAACTCTCTGGAACCGAATTAGTCCTGTTTATCAAATCAGTTTTGTCATTTTGAGATATGTTACACATTTTAAAGGTGGCTCAACCATCTTATGAAGTTAGGACTTTTTCTGAATAGATCAAAAAAGAGAGGGTGGAGATCGAGCCTGCGACCTTACTTACCGGGCAGACGTTTCAACCAACCAAGTTGTAATATTTGAAATGCCACAGGTCATAGTTGAAAATTTTCATTGATTATGAAGGATGAAGTTTACAAGACTCTTCAGCTACGGTTTACAGTAATATTATCACTATAGCTTCGTTAACCGCTATGTTAATCGGTTTACAGTAATATTATCACTATAGCTTCGTTAACAGCTATGTTAATCGGTTTACAGTAATATTATCACTATAGCTTCGTTAACAGCTATGTTAATCGGTTTGCTGTTACCTATTTATCTATTTCTGAACCAAATCCCTGTTTGTAACTAATATAATCGTTTTGTGGTCAGTCGAGACAAAAAATTGAGCTTTTTAGTCTAAATTCAAAGCGTTACTTCTGGCGCAAGCCCAACACAGCACATCCTAACTGTTAAGTATGGTGGTAGCAGCATCACGTTATGGGGATGCTTCTCATCAGCAGGGACTGGGAAGCTTGTCAGAATTGAAGAGAAAATGGATGGTGCAAAGTACAGGCGAATCTTAGAGGAAAATCTGCTTGAGTCACCCAAGAATCTAAAACTGGGTCGAAGATTCGCATTTCAGCAGGACAATGACCCGAAGTACAAGGCCAAAGCCACAGTGGAGTGGTTTCAAAAGAAGAAAGTGAATGTCCTGGAGTAGCCCAGTTAAAGTCTTGATTAGAAAATCATAGAAAATTTGTGGCGAGACTTGAAGATTGCAGTCCATCAACGATCCCCAGCGAACTTGTCAGAATTTGAGCAATTTTACCAGGAAGAATGAGCAAAAGTTACATCATCCGATTGTGCAAAGCTGGTAGAGGCCTATCCAAAAAGATTCACAGCAGTAGTTGCTGCCAAGGGTGCTTCCACCAACTACTAAGTTAGGGGGCTGAATACTTATACAATCAGCAAATTTCAATTTATGTATTTTCTTTGAAGGTTTTTCTGACATTCATCTTCTTTCACACACAACAGTGTTAAGTTTGATCATTAGAGTTTTGAATAAAAACAAGTTCATTAAAAAATTATTGACATTATTTGTATTACATCAAAATGTGACATTATTGCTAGGGGTGAATGCTATTGCTAGGCACTGTAAATATCACTGTAGCTAATGCCTTAGAAAGTAATGTTAGATCCTTTACATAACGAGAGTTAGCCGATCACGAATTACTTGCTGAAGTTTGTATATCTATATTATTTGGGTACAATTACTAAGACTCAGTACAGTATACCAAACTGATACTGATCCTATATGTAAGTTGTTTTTTTTTTATAATATCTAGATAAGTATCCTGTACCTGAAAGAGAATTGACACGACATTCCTTTAGAGGTAATTTATAAATCTTAATTTTTTTATCTAAAACAATTAATTTTGGATACCAAAGACAGCGTATATTTTATCATGGATCTAATTATCATAAATTATAAGATTTGTTTTTTTTTATGAACTTGAAATATTGCAATTATAAAAAAAGATACTTTTATTGATACAATGGAATTCATTCTAGTTGACATGTGGGCTGTTTTCTAACTTTAAAATGTTGTTAAGAGTTTTGTTTCTATACGTAGTAAATTTTATAATAATCAATCAGGTTAAAATTTAAGTAATCGAGTAAACATGGATGAACCTAAAGTGTTGTTTCATACAGTGCATTTTACTTAATTTAAAATGACACAAACAGACTTGGTATCTTCAAACAAACAAACAAACAAAAATAAACATAAACTGGTGTTTTGTAAATAAGCTTTCTTAACAAAAGTCCGTAAACAAACTCAGATTCGATCTTAATCCTAGTTGGTCGTTTTCTCTAGCTTTTCAAGTAAGACATTTCCTAATTACTTTTAATTTCTTTAAAGAGTTCTGTAATTAAACGCTATAACCAGTGAGCTAAAATAAATCAATTTTAGACAATAAGAGACGCTATAGTGTATAAACTTAAATATGCTCAAAGTGATGAAAGCTTTATTGACAAACATTTTTGTTACTATATCACTATTGGTTGGTTTGTAATTGGGTAAATTTCTCTAGTTATTTACACTACACCTAGATGTAAAAATATAATTAATTACATTTTACACAGCGACACAATAGTAAGGTATGAATTTATCTTTGGTACGTTCATTCTACACTAGACCTTAGAATTTGATATTTTAAAGTCGAAACTGAAAACCAGGTGCCGTCAGCGAAGTAAACTCCGCAGCTCGAAAAAAAACTCAACTTCGAATTATTTTTCATATTTTCAGAAGAAAAGTCCGTGTCTTTCTCAGAAGATACTAAAGATGTTACAGATCGCCACTCTTCGCCAGAGCACACTTGTAAGTCAGTTTAGCTCTGTTGTAAAATTAAACTAATTGGGGGGGGGGGAGGATTTGTAGAAAATTGTTGAATTGACATTAACCTTTTTTCATAAATTCGAAAGTGGATTGATCATACATGTGTTTCTATAAGTGAACATCTCACTTGCTCTCTGATAAAAACCTTTTCAAAGCAGCTTTCTCGACAAAGTTGTAGTTCTTTGTGATGTTACATAGAATTTGAATTATTTGGGTCATTACTCTATGTAATTCTCAGTTTACTCTGATTAGTTAATGTGTCTTTTTTTACAGCTGTTATTATAAATTTTGATTAGTTAATGTGTCTTTTATTACAGCTGTTATTATAAATTTTGATTAGTTAATGTGTCTTTTATTACAGCTGTTATTATAAATTTGATCAAAAATTAACTATCTTAAAAATGATTTTAATAAAAACATTATTATAGCCTGAACAAAATAAGTTCTTGAATATCAGTAGTTAACGTCAGATTTGGTGTATCTTATAGATACGACTTAATATTTACATTAATTTACATCAAATGATCAATATATTTTACACATGCAAATAAATGGAGTCTTGGGAGAGGTCTTTAAAAGTGACTTGTTACAGTAGTGTATTTAAAATAGGTTATACTTTTAATAACTCTAATGTTAGTAACAATATAGATTGTAAATTAGATAAAAAGACATTTTTTGGTATAATATAAATAAAGACCATTTTGGGAATTTTGCCTTAGAGCTTTACCTAGAAGAAGTATAATAAATTGAAGCATTCGTACTACTACCTGCTACAGAAGTTTAGTTAAAAACATTCAAGAAGTATGCAAAATCTAGTCTAATTCCTTGTGTAAATAAATCTGTTCTGCATATAAAGCCTAGTGTAATTCCTTGGTTAAATAAAGCGGTAAATGTATACAATTTAGAATGTGATCTTACGCATACACTCTGGTTAAATAAGATAAGAAAATAAACAGAATTTTAGTTTGAAAGAAACTAGTAAGAAAAAAAATCAAAATTTCATTGTATAAAACCTATGCATTTTTTAAATAAATGTCGATTTTAACCGTTGGGGATTTTCAGCAGTTTTATTTGTTACGATTTTTTATACTGAACTTAATAGTCTTGTCTACTGTTTTCCAAACAATTTGAGAAACAGCTTTTTAAAGGAAATGAAAGGCCTGTCACTGCTGAACCATTTAAGATTTATATGTTTCTGTAGAAGCGACCTGCAAATGAATGTATTGAAAAGAAAAACCCCTTTTAAAATGATCACATCTTCAAAACTATTTCTCCTTAGGGAATAAAATTTCATTGAGAGTCATAAGTTTTATACAGGAAAGTATAGAAATGGTACAGTGTGTTTTAAAACTATATTGCACTGCACACTGTTTTTCTCGTAGACTAGCGTTTCTTTCATTTCTCTCTCTCTCTCTCTTTCAACAATGCAAGACTGTTGGTTTGAATAAAAGGCGTGTTAGTATGCAGGATAATGTACGTATCAATGACCACTCTTCAGAATGGATTATGTATTCAGTAATTCCGTGTCCAAACTTCCCTACGTAAAACTTATGATTCTCAGTGGGCTACTAGTGGAGTTTGTTTCCCGTAGAACAACAGGTTTTTTTTTTTGTAAACTATAGTCATTATAAACTTGGAAATCCTTCATAATCACCCAATGAATTAAAGTGTTCAGTTTGTATGTTTAATATTTCAGCTTAACCTCTAGAGTAATATACGTGTTTATTATGTATTTCACGAGGGAAGGAATGTAAAAGTACATTTTCATTGTTTTTCCATGTTGCACACTTCTCGAGGAAGGTTTTTAGTCGTTTCATCCTGGCCATAGGGACTGTTTAAACAAAAGAGTTAGAGTGTAAAGAGCTAGAATTATTAATCTGGCCCCAGTGCGTAGAATTAGTGTAAGATAGAGAGGAGAAAAGGGCAATAATTCACATTCGGGCACTTTTTTCCAACCAGATCCAGATAAGTGTCTATGAAAATGTATTCTAACAAAGTGGTGATAGCTGACTACTTAAGCGTGTCGAAGTCGCCATAGAAACGGTGTTGAAAATAAAGATTTGTTAATTTTTGTCAATAGTATGTTGCAATTTAATATACTTAAGAGTAAAGAACGGTATCGATGTATATATTTTTGCTTACCCTCAGGGGAAGACTCTGCTGTATTACGTTTTACTAAAGATACTGGCTATTGATATCCAGTTACTAACATATGCTTGTCACCAATTCTTCATTATATTCATAGTATACGTTAGTAATACTAAGGTGGGTTAGTCACTCGAATGAAACAGAATTTGTCCATTTCGAGATACTTCCAGTTGAAAGGAATTCAGTCTTATTACTTATGTATCGATATATTGCCCCGTGACAAAGTTATCATCCAAAATTCACGACTAGGTTTAATAATGAAGACAGAGTCAATATTAGGATGGAAAATATTTTATTTGCAGATGCGATTTCTTTTAGAATAGACTCATCCCATCATCATCAAGTTTGAAAACGATGTGTGTGAAGGTATTTTAAAACAAGTGAGACAAAATCAGGGTGATAGTTATAAACAATGAGCACATAAACACTTCTTTGCACGTCAAATATACAAAGTATACAATCAAAACATTTTATTTTTATGAACGACCATTTGCGATGGCAGTATATATTTACGTAACGTAAATTTTGGATACAAGAGATTTAAATCTATCGTTATTTGTCAAAACTCAATTTAGAAAAATATTTTAGTTGGAGGTACTTCTGTGGGTTATATAGATCAGGATGTATTGTTTTGTTTTTATAATTAATAAGCTAGTTTTCTAGTAAAAAAGTTCAACTTCAAGGCCTGAAAATTAAGTTGTAATGATGGTAAAGCTATTAATTGATATATTTTGACCTGTGATTTATCTGGATTATCGAGTCTTCTGAATGACAGGGTGTATTAGGTAAAGGCCGGTTCTATGTACTGAATATCCCTCATTGTTCATACATTGGGTGTAACTATTGTATCATTTTCATAATATATGTAAAACAACAAACGAAGAAATGTTGATAGTTGGTCTTTATTTATACCGAATTAAATTTTTATTCGGACATTAGGCTTACAACTAAGTTTGAGATGAATCTTGGGTAAAATTTTTTTTATTAACGTGGAGATATATTTTTATTAATAAATAAGCACTGAGAACCCTTAAAAATTAAGCATATAATAATAAGAAATCTGACAGTAGTGCATAGTTTGATACTAGATTAGAATTTGTTGTTAAGGAACTTGGGTGTGAAATTACTTGGAACATCTGTTTGGTAGCTATGCGCAAACTTTCAATGTCTGAGCGTGACCTTCTGGTTAGCGTGCTAGACTGTAGATCTGAGGTTCCTTGGTTTACGCCTCGTTACACCAGAAAAATTGCACTCCGCACTTTGAGGCTGTGGGTGTATTATAAGAGTAATGGCCAAATTTCACTTTTTTATCCTAAGAATAGCAGTCTAAAAGTTGGCGGTGGGTGGTTTCACTAGCTACCTTCTCTATAGTCTATCACTTAAAATAAGTCTCTAGCAACTTTGGGAGAAATTCAACAAACAAACAAAAAGGTTTTTAAGTTTAGTCGGCCTCTTGAAGAGAATATACTTATGCACAAATATTTTTTTACTGAAAATTTGGAAGAAGATAGTGTAAGTGTGGCTAATAACTGTTTACTTAGGTTTTCGTGTTGGTTAGATATATATTTACTTGTTTTACTCTAAGGATATGTATACGACTGAGTTTTGTTTTGTGTAGTATTTTTCATCTTAATGTTCTTTCGCTTGAATATTATGGATTTTCTTTTATTGAGTTACATAGCTTTAACTTCTTCGACAGTTATTAAACATTTCATATTCTCGGATTAGCGTATTCGGCCTTGTAAATCACAATAATGTGCTATTGTAATAATATTATCATGAAAACTAACTTTCTTTTCTGTATTAAGTAATTTATTTGGACTATCACCACGTATTTCTAGTTTTTAATGTCCAAGCTTTCGGCTTAATTACCTAAGCCTTCTACAGGTGCGAGACGGTTAATCAAAACTTTCCTTTCATTACCTGATAGATCTTAACAATTCAATTTACTTTGAACTTTGCTGGAGCATAGCGGACTAAATGGTGGTTTTATATATCACTGTTTGCATACTTAGCTGCGGTGCATGACACACTTCTGTAAATATACGCTGGCAAACAATGACGCCGTCGACTGTTTTCACTTGAGAAATATACATTGCTACCAAAAACTATCCATTATTATTAGTGGCGGCTCTAGTTCAAAAATTGAAGGGTGTGTAATAAAAAAAATTGCGCCCTTTTTCAGATTTGTATATTTTCTATTTATTTTTCTGTGGTTTTCAAAATTTTAAATGATTTTTAAAATTCAGAATAGAGAGTACAAAAAACAAACAAACAAAGACTAGTCTTTAAAAAAAATGGAACTTTACGAGCCTTTAGCATGGTAAAACTTTTCCTTAATTAATCCCATATTAATTTCTCTGGCCATTTTATTTTCTAACAAAATTATCTAGACATTTTAATCTCTCTTGTCCCATTGTGGAACACAAAAATGTTTTTATCCACTTTAGTCTAGAAAACGATCTTTTACCACTTGCCAGACTAACGGACAAACTTCTGGAAAACTTTAGTTTTCGCATATATAAAATATGACCTTATCTGGAGTTGAATTTTCCGGTATTCGATATGATATTAATTTAAGTTCTGCACACAAACGATCACCACAAATATCCCTTTTCCCTTGTCATTTTTTTTCTACATTTTTGCGCCCCAATAATTTTGCGGTGTGTTCTATGAGCCCTTCCACCCACCTTGGGTGGGCCCTGATTATTATCACAAAAATATATAATTTATGTAATATTTCATACACTGGTTGTTCTTATCTATATTGAAAGAGTGGTTAATAAACTAATAAAATGTATAATTGCTAACATATGGTCGATAAACTTAAACATAACATGACATACTTACGTCATTGAAATACCGTCTAAATATATATATATACCTAATAGTATATTTTAAAAGAGTGAGGTTATATTTGAATTACATTAATGAATAAGATTTCTCGGAATCTTAGTGTTGAAACTGTTTCTATATTGTTGTTTTAGCTGAGAGGCCTACCAAGCCGGCTATCAAAGCTAGATCCATATCTAAAGGTAGGACTATTTCTTACAATGTTCGAACTGGAGTATTGATAGTTTAGAAGATTATGTGTAAAGTCATGACATACTAAGTAACTTGTCCTTGAGAAAACAACATTGATAAACTCCTTAACCTCTTTATTGTCATTCATTGCATAAATCGCGAAAAATAAATTAAAGAAAAAACTCTAGCATTGAACTGTTATTTCCGCAAAACTTAATATTAATAATAAAGACAATGCAGAATTTACCACCTCAATCCGGTTGCTGACTTAGCCAACTAATTGGTTACTTAGGTGTGACGTCGTGCTTTGATTAGTTGCCAAAGCAGTTTATTGGTTCTAAAATATATTTTAACAACTAATTAACCAATGTTGCTTTATTGGTGACTATTAACAAACTTTGTTCATTAAAGTTGTGCATTATATAATGAAAAATATTAAAAGGATCATACTAATATCTTTAGTCCCTACTTGCTAGTGTTACAATACATTTTTTTATCTTGTTTTGCTGAATACTTGAATTTTGTTATTTGTTACCCAAGCTTTATTGAAACACCAAAATAAAAACATTTAATCATAATAACATACCGGAGAAAATTTAATTCGACGAAAACATTTTTTTTTGCTTATTCAAAGCTCTACATTCAAGGTTCAATACAGCTCTAGGTATGCAATTTATTAAACATTTTCTATGCATCCACGTACCATGTGTCATAACTCCCATGAATTATGTACGTTTATTTACATTTATGATGAATACAAATCAGCCTGTTCTTCGGTAAATCTTCGCTCTACTTTTTTCCACGTGTTTTCCACTTGTCTCTATCTTCCTGTATTTGTGTTTGATCTTTCATGTATACGAAATTTCATGTCAACCATAAAATTGAAGTTGTCAGTTAGTTCACTGTAAACAAAATTACATTTATGCCAAAACCCCTATTATTCTTGACACCGCATAGTTTTGATGCATTCTATTTAAACGGAAACGTGTGTGGAAGAACAATCACTGTAAAAAAAAATCGTTACTTTTATTTTATCGCACGTTTTTACTAGTGAAAGACTCGCCATAAAAACTGATTAATGTGATGCTACTCGTTATATAGAAAATAAATTGTCTTAATAATAATAATAATAATTTCATAACCGTCTGAAATGTACAATAAAATAAACAAGAAATATCTCAGTGTCGGTTCAATAACGTCAGTAACAACATGGGGGTAGTAATACACTACAAATTGCACTATTTTCTTCTTTGGTCAGTAAATGTATGTGCTTAGGTATTGTTGGCATGTTATTTCATTTTCTCTATTCACATTTTACTTTAATTTTTGTCACTTTATCTAAAGTGATGTATATACTTCAGAAATAAAAAAAAATCTTCCTTCTCCTTCTCTGAACTTTGACCTTCAGAAAAAGACGACCGACCACCTGGTGGTAAACCCAAACCTCCCCCTAAACCTACCTCTCTACTTTCTACGCCAGCGGAACTCAGGCGTTACGAAATTCCTAAAGGTATATATATTTCTTCAAGTCTATAGGCATCTGTCACTCTTTCAAAAACTAGGATTCTTTTCATCTATTCTTTGCTTTCTTCTTCTTTTGTTTAGTTTCTTTTTTATCTCGTATCGAACACAGTTTATGTCTCCTAGATAGTGAGACAAAATATTAAAGAAAATGATCATTTTAAAACGATTTCTTTCAGAAATTTGTAAGTGAAATATTGTTGTTTAACGTGTCATTGAAGAAGATAACAATGATAGTAATCCTTTTAGGCATAATTACTAATACTAAAATATGCTCGTTCAAAACAAGTTTTCAAGTAAAATGTAATAAAAAAACACCCATGCAATATTACAAAAATAATTTATATATAAAACATATTCCATGAGAAATCCACAAATATATGAAGAGAAAGAAGAAACAACAGTCAAAATAAAAATAATTAAAAACCACAGCTTATTTCAATTTTAATACATGGCACATTTTCTGTGACAAGCGAAAAGATGCTTGTGGTACATAAGATAAAAAAAAGTCAGGCTAATGGTGGAATTTTTTTTAACACGTGTGAGCAAAATTTTAAAGAAATGTAACTAAGAGTCATGTGGATAGCGCAAAAGATATATTTTCTGTATTTTTTAATATTTATGTACGAGAGTGTATTTTTTACTACTTCTGTTTTAACCCTCACGTCAGTGTATAAACAAGAACACAATACTTACAAAGGCGAAAGTCATAGTGTATTTTATGTGTACTTGTTTATTTCATGGTATAATCATGACTATTGTCATGGCTGTTTTAAAAGAGCAATTTCACAAAACATTTCAGTTCATGATCTCAGCCCTGAGCTCTGCTCAAGGCTTCGCTACCTCAGGCGACAGACCAGAGATCTACAAGTTGAAGTGCGCAGTCTCCGAAGAATGGCCCAAAACCAAGCTATATCTGCCAGAGATAGTGTTCGTGATACGTGCCTAAAGATTAAGGTAATTCATTCTCTTCTAATAGTATTAAAACAGAAAGTAATTGTGACTAGACTGTGTTAATATGTTTAAACTAATTTCTAAGTAATGTGATTAGTTGTTTGTCTGTGCTGGTGCTGATATTTTTAACCTGAACAACACTATATGTGAACTTGAGCTACACAGCTCAGTCAGAAACCCCTTGGACTCGTGCACAATTGTTCCTAATATAAACCACTAAAAAGATTCAGCGACACCTATCGCCAGAGGGCTTTATATGGCTTTCAACTGAATAAAGAGATTAATGGTCACATTTCTAACGCACTTACAACGGAAAGTGCGGAGAATTTTCAATGGTATTGTGGTACGACCTTTGGAACTTTCGTAACGTAGCCCGGTACAGCTAACCACTTGGACAAATCCAAGTTCTCTGTCATTAGGATGTTTGTGTCGTATGTGTATGATTGCAGCTCACTTGTAAGTGTAATTATAATATTAAATATTTTATTTCAATAATTATACAATAAAAAATCAAACTATGCCAGAAATTTTTCAGATAGTATTTATTTTCAACATTATCCTTGAAATCATATAGTGAAGTTTTGAAGCATACGAAATTATAAAAGGTTCAACGAGTTAGGAAAAAATACCTCGTTTAATTAATATTTCAACATATTACATTATCGAAGACATGTTATTGTATAGACTCCTTAAGATACCGGAAGATATCTTTCTTAACCGTATCCCATTCTTAAAGAACTATGGTTCCTAACAGATTCGGCCCGGCATGGCCAGGTGGTTA